AGAATAAACGACTATGTGTGTATCGTTAAATTAGTAACAAAAAATAATTAAGAAAAAATAATTTATCATTGTAGTAAGATATGACGCTAGAATAAATGTTTGTGCAGTTATAGTTTAGAGTGATGCCATGAAAGTCACAATTAAGTGAAAAGGATAATAAAATATCACTATGTATGAGTCATATATGCATAGTGAAGATAAAACGAATCTGAGAAGTTAATTTAAGTGTAACATAAGTTATTGTTTTAATTACAAACTTCGTAATCTTAAGAATAATATTTATTCAGAGGGAAAGAAGAGAAAGAAAAGAAGTGAACACCTAGTAAGAAGGTTCATCCATGATAAGAATAATAATTGTGTAATGAATATCAACCTCAGAAGGAAATCAGCATTTAAAAAAATTAAAAATCCTTTAAGGCACTCGGATGAATACATTTAGCTTTATGTAATAGTATACAGAGTGAAACCGGATATTAGTATAAATATTTGTGCAATAATAATTAAGATTGATGCTATGAAAGTCGAAATTGATTTCAAAGGACAATCTGGAGTTAAATATGTTTAGAAGGATAAGAAGAGATAAAAAGAATACCTAATGTATCTGTGAACTAATAATGATATTAATAACGGTAATAATGATAAACATGAACATAAGCAGACTTCATATATTAAGATAGATAGAAATAAAATAAAATAGACGTGAAAAGATTTAAAGGTTTTATTTTGCTTTTAAGCAATTAAATAGATGACGGACCTTGTTTGTATAAATCATTATTGAATACATTGATATTCAATAGGTGACATAATCCACTTTCGGAAAGAAAATCGTCAAGGAGACTTTTGAACCGGGTTGTAGTGTCACTGCAACGGAGGTTCACTGACAGTCTGTTCCACATGGTTGAGTAGCGAATAAGGAAAAAATTCTGACGTAAGTTTGTGTGGGTTCTTGGAATCGCTAGAATGTTCTCCTTATTGCGTAGATTGTGGGATGATATTATAAGGTATGAAGGGGTGGATACCGATGAGTAGGAAATACCGTTAATGAGCCGGTAGATAAAGACAAGATTTAATTTGATACGTCTAATCCAAAGAGGTTCTAAGTTGGGTTGTTGACAATTACTATAAACTAAAATACCATGTTCAAGAATGGGTAAGATACATTTTCTGTATAGTAACAATATCGATTCGATATTATTGGAGTTTATCATTATCAATGCGATGAGCTTTCTAGCTTTGGAGTCTGAATTTCTCCCATTATATAGTGATATACAAATTCAATCAGGTAACCACTCATTCACAGTTTTCGTTTCCCAGTGAAGAATTCAACCAGCATTTCTGCTGAATATCTTGTTATCTGTAAGACATGATCAGTGGTTGAAAGCGCCAGGTTATTTTAAGGAACCAATAGGTTTGCATTTAATTACTTACATAGGAGATGACGTATTCCGTTTTTGATCTCCGACTGAAAGACAGGTGGATGTGGTTTTCAGACCATAACTACGGACCAGTGACGAAAATGTTTCCACGATATTTATTTCATGCCACGCATAGATAGATAAAGAGTCAATAACCGTGTCTCATATCAGGTTAGCTACAGGTCAAATTTTGCCTCCAATACTTTTATTATTGTCATAACCAACAGTCATCGCAAATTTGATAAGAAGTGAAAGTGTTTTGACACAAAGAATAAGCAAAAGTGAATTTAATACTTAGCCTTGGAGTAGACCATAGGTACTGTCTCGTAAGGAGAAAATAACGGATCAACCCGTTTTCTTGAGTTCTATTAACAAGAGACTGGTCTACTCACCAAGGAAGATGTCCGAGAATCTATGAGCTATTCAGAGACAACAGAAACTCAGAAAACAGAAAATTTTCATAAGCTCTACTGAAGTCAATACAGAGAATATCTACTGGTTCTAGGTCACTGAGAGGTTCTGGTTAGTTCTTGTATAATAGTTAGATGATCTAAAAAATCTGTTCTGAGGAGAGAATGTAGTTGATATGTTATACGATAGCAGCGGGGAGAACCTGTTCACTGTTCTTGGGATACCTATAGAGCAGTTGGGTTCAATCTTACGTGTTTCCCTATTCGGTATCGTGAGTTTTGTCTTCCCAACCTTTATTGTCAGAGTTGGAGTCTTTCGATGTATTTGTGAGGTGAATTTAGGTTCATTCAAGTTAACTTGTGGAGTATCTTTAGGAGGACTAATTTTCAAGTGTATAGGCTTAGTTGGATACGTGTTGTCACACGACTCACATTTTAGTACATTACTAGACATGTCGTTATTCTTTTTGTGTAAGTTGAGGTCCGTATTTTATCCAAAGGTTTCTGATCAGCAGACTGGTCTAGATCAACAGAGTGATCAGCCGTTTGTGGAGTGATGTCATGCTTATTGTTTATGTGATTTAATCTATTTACTGTGTTGCAAACTGTTTCTAGCTGTTTATTTACTGTAGCACTCTCGTGCATCCCTATCGCTACACGTCTTCTTACACGACGCTGACAGGGCGTAATGTCTGGAGTGACTTTTATATTTTTGTATGGAATTAGTGCGCTAACATTTTTAATCGAATCAACAAACTGTTTAGCATCGTTACGTCAGCCGAACATAAACAGGAAGGGACAAGTTGATCTGTCTGACTTTTTTTCTAAGGAGGATGACATTGCAGTTAACGTTCGGTATACGGAATTCTCTAAGGCAAATATCCCTTAATTTAGATGGGTGTGTATTGTCGGGGAGGTTATCTGCAACTACATTGAAGAAAGACATAACTCTTTTCGTCACTTCTTCAGCTACAAACTCCAAAATACACACAGCTTTGGTGAGTTGCTCAAGATTTCTATCAGTGTCAAGGCCCCATATATGTGTGAGGGGTGCTAATTGCTCAAGTCTGCCGTTAATTTCGGATAGAGAGTTTTGTAGCTGACGGATGTCATTACTATACCTATCAGTATTTCTGTATGTATGGGATGAACTATTGGGCTCTTTACTGTTTGAAATTTTAGATCTAAACCTTGGTAGAACATACTGTCTGGTAGACTGTACTGACATTTCGATACAAGTCGGTATAGTGTCTTGTATGTCAACCAGTCTTACCATTGGTATACTGAATGCAGAGATAGAGGGGTTGTAACATGCAGAAACAGGTGATGATAGTGACATTCGTGTACAATACGCATACTGCTCAGTAGTTAAATGCTCGACATTGTTAGGTAATAAGTCGTCAGTAATAGGGGCTACAGATTTGGACCTTTTATTTGGCTTAGAAGTTGGTGAAATTTCTCTTTTACTGGAGTTATTGGCCATGATATGAAACTGGGTGAGCACAGAGCTGGTTAAATTAAATATAATATCTGGGTATTAGTTGTTATCAAGTATTAACCTGGTTAATACTAGGATCAGAGACTATGAGTATATAATAAATTCCAGATCTATTTAAGATTTAAGTCCTTGATAGGAATAATATAAACTGGTAAGTGTCCGTTGAAAATATTTTTCAAGGTAAAATGTATCCGATATACAAGATAGGATGATAGTCTCCGTATAATACACCCTACAAATGAATTAGTTTAACAAGTTCTAAACCACCTGAAAAACAGTTACCACTTTCAAATTTTGCGTAATGTGACCAGGTGCAGTCCATCTGGTTTTGTTTATGCTTTAAAGTGGGAATACAGTGCTGCCTATGATCAGTTTACTAAAAGCACATAGGTTTGCAAATCTCTCACCATTTTCGTTCGTTTCTCCTAATCCGTGACGTCCCATGAGGCTTTCATATCCGATGTTGTCCATTCCAACGTTGATATTTAGGTCTCCCATCAGAACGGTCAAGTCCTTTGTTTGCCACTTCTTGACGATTGACTGCAGCCTATCGTAGAATTGACATTGAACGTCTTCATTGTAGTCGTTCGTAGGCGCATAGCACTGAATGATATTTATTGATATGCCTTCTTTCTTTGTTTTGAAGGAGGCTTTGGTGACCCTTGGTCATTGAGATCCACATCGTATAAGTGCATTTTGTGCTTGTTCGGACAGCATGAATGCAGCTCATTGTGTACGTGGGGCATTTCATTTTTCGTGGGCGGAGTATAACAGCAGCTACCCTAAAGCTAGTCGTTGTTGTCCAACCTGTGTCCAAAGTGCTTCATTGATTCATCACTTCTGCAGCAACTTAGATGACTCTCCCGGTCTCCCACATTGTACGAGCATTCCATGTACCTAAATAAATGGTTGCTCTAATTGTCAGAAGGGGCATCGACCTCATGACTTCCGAAGGAACTCGGCATTCACCAAGAGGCGTCATAACTCTTCTAAATGAAGACCTTCTGACTTCCAGGGCAGAGATTATATGGTTTGAATATTTTTTTCTGGTTAGCGTTTTCTTAGCGAGTTAGCTTTCTACGGGATGAGGTCTCTAACCCCATGTCCAACCCTCCTCCTTTATCCGGGATTTGAACGGCAGTAGCCCTAAAGGAGCTCCAGGCGGAGTTATACTTTATCTACTACTTTGCCTAATATGTCTCTATGGCATTACCAGATAATGTTACGGTATTTACTCCATCTGGTTCATCATATTACCCTTACTTAATAATTTATTTTCGAACGGCACTTTCATACCAGAATTAAACATTTGTCTACCATTAATATTTCACTTGAGTAAAGCAAATATACGACCTTGTGCTGTATTTTATGGCACACGGAAAGTGGTTGAATATGACGCGATCTGTGACAGGAAGTAATAAAAACTAAAACCGATTTTAAAATGGATCATAAATCTCAACATAAATAATCAGAGTTTCAAACACGAAATGACGTCAAGAATAGTTGGAGCCATTTAAGCGAATAAACTCTTGTTGAAATCATAATATATCATTCATACAATCACTTTATCAGTGAATTTTAAAAGATGAAGCAACTGCTTGATGTTTTGGCTTATATTTCTGAAATTGTTTAACGGTGTAAAACCTTAATCACCCTCTAATGGCAAATTTTCAAATGCAATACTTATAACCCGCTCGCTCGAAACACCACTGCCGACTCCGTGTTTCAATAACTAGATCATCTAATCTTAGGCTACTACTGCCAATGCTTTTTATCGATTGTCTTCATTATTAAACACAGATGGGTTGTATGTACTTATCAAGTTTCCGGATCGCTTTTAATTTTTCTCTTTTCTCAAGATTCTTACGTATAAGCAGCTGTGGATATTTCTACAGTACACAAAGCACTTTAATACGATAGAACAATCGACTTAGTTCTAAATCTCATTGTTATTTGAGTTGATGAACTGATCTATTCGTATGAGTTATCAATGAACAAGTCTTCATCATCTCACATTCCACTCCCAATACAAAGCTTTCTATTTTCTCAGACATGGTAGGTCGCAAATTAACTATGTATCATATTTGTACAGTTCGTTTTTTCAGAAACCCTCAGCAAGGGACGGAGTCTGTACTGTGAGTAATGATTTTTTTGTATTTAGAAGTGTGGATAGAATCTCAGTGATTCTGAGCTTTTACCATGTTTTTTGATGGGATTCTAGTGAAAGCCATGGTGAATGGTAGTGTGTACTGTTTCATTGAGTTCGCTATTCGAGCAGATTATAAATGAATATCACTGGTGAAAACTTAGGATTAATTCACGATACACACGTTACTTTTTAGTTATCTGATGTCATATTTTCATTTTTTTGAGTAGCTATTTGTAAGTGTGTAGCGACACGAGGCTCACTACAAGTAGATGTTAATTGCATCAAAAGAATCTTGCTTCAAAAACGTTAGTAACAGTCGATGTATGTAGTGAGAGTTTTAGATTTCATCTGACCAAGAATACCAACTTTTGAAAACATGCTGAAAACAAGTTATTTTACTATCTGTTTACAATAAAAGTTTTCATTTTGTCACGACTTTTAATACCATTAAGAACGATTCAAGGATTTTTAAATATATCGGTTACCCGTCTAGAGAACAGATGTTTGTGTGCGTAATCTAAAATTATGAATTATCGTTTTGTTGTCTTATAATGAGATTGGTAGATTGAACACTGGGAATGAAGGGATGTTGGTAATTTGTAAATATCTGAAACCCTAGGACTAAGCTTCCTCAAGGCTAAAGTAAGAGCGTTTGATATTGCGACAAAAGTCTGGCGACTTTAAATAGGAGCCTCGAGCCCATCGGGATTCGGAAATGAAGATAGTGATAAATGCCACGGCATTTCTATAAGTGTAAAAGCTATTTACACAAAAGATTTGAAAGTTTTATTGACGATTTATCAGTGGCGGTTATTTATTGCGAAATGTCATTAAAACATTTTAACGAACATCACAAACTGTTCTGATTTTTCCTTAGATATATAGCAATTTTACTGTAAGCTATTTTTTACTAAACGTACATGAACATGATCATCAAATCAACTGAATAGCTTCTAAGGCCATCAGGACCTGCAATATTTTTGTGGTACATTACAGATTGCTGTGAAGTTTAGTGCCAATATTTCTGTCTTAATCCGGTATTTTTTTTTGCCTCGGACTCACTCTAATGAAAATATCTTTCAACCTGGTGGATTACTGGTAGTTAAAAACAAAATGTGGTTTTCCTGTGAAAAATCTGACTATACTGCCATGAGAGTCCTTGTAGCTCCCCGATAACCTAGAACTTCTTTTTATTGTTTTTGGAGCCAGAAGTCTGATTGTCAAGTTACCTATCAGTTTAAGGTTGGTAATAACAAATGGAATGTAGTTTGTAGCTTAGAGCGTACATTTTTACCTAGTTGCTAAACTGTATTGTTCTCTGATTAGAAAGACAATGTATGTATATAGCAGCCCACTCTACTGTGATTTAACAAAAGTTTCTTTTCCTGAGTTATTTAGGGATCCTATGACTCATTAAGCTTCTGAATCTCATTATTTGCCTTTATTCAATTTAATTGCTTCGTGTATCTGGAAGCCCTAATGCTTCTTCCCGTGGTCTCGCCGGCGTAGGTATAGCATTGAGTCCTAGGGCAGAACTAGCTCTCTTAGACTGGATCCTAGTAGAAAGTCACTTGTGTGCTGTCCGACTAAACAGAACTGTAAGGAATCGGAAAGATAGGGACACTCTTCGTCGTCTCTGCATACTCTCTCATTGACTACAGCTCAGATGAGGTAAAAGATAAGTTATGCAGAAATCTTTTTGACCTCCTCCAAAAAGTTAGGCTCTTTGATGTAGTAATAGTGGCTAGTGACTAATGCTCAAGTAGGTAAACTAAGCGAAAAGGAAAGACACCTAGGTGGATTTCATGGTGTCGTGGCTCAGAGAACAGATAATGGCGATCGTCTGTTGCGGCTATTTTCAGATAGCCACCTGTTTCTAGCAAACACTATATTTAAGCTCATATGATTTTGATATGGTGGAGAAGATTTGTAGATCAGGTGAGCTACTATATTTAAGCATAGGGGAAAACATCTTTTGACATGGCGACCACCGAACTCATTCCAATGTTGGACCCAACTGTATCACATTGCCATCAGCCACGGATGGAGTGGCTCGATAGAAAACTCGCTCGTTCTGGAGCACACGCTTAGATTCAGATCATGCTTTAGTGCGAGCGCGTATTTTTCTGCGTCTTACTGAACGTAGGAAAGACGCTACAAAGGAAACTTTTAGGGTTCTACTTAATGATTGCCAAGCTAAGAATATACTTCAGAAACAACCAGAAAACGTTAGGTGGCCATGTAAGTGATGTCCACCCTAAAGCAGCTCGGAATGATATCCGAGAAGCTGTGGAAACTGCAGTGATATCTCCTAGTACTGTAAACCACAAGGTTAGGTAGAAACAATGAATCTCAGTAGCATCTACCGCATTGATAGATGCTCGAAAACTGATTCCATATGGCTCTGAGCATAACGAAGAGCGGAATCATCTTAAGCGCTAGCTGACAATAAGCCTACGCAATGGTCGTGAACAGTGGTGGGTAGCCAAAGCAAGAGAGATGGAAAAGGCAGCGGCAATAGGTAACAGTAGACAACTGTTCAGACTTATTAAGGAAACCGATATTAGGAACCCGACTGTTAGCGAAACAATCTCAGAGAAAGATGGACATATTATACATTCCCAATCCAGGAGATTATATCGATGTGCAGAACACTTTAGGAATCAGTTCAACTGGCCTTCGACCACACTTCGATTTCCCTCGATGTCCAGTCAACCTGAATGGCAAGTTGATGTAAGTCTTCCAACTCTGAAGCGAGGGAGAGCAGTAGGCCCCGACAAGCTTACCCCTGAGATTTTTAAGGGTGGTGGTCCAGTAGAGTTTGGGAACTGGTCGCGCCAGTCTATAAGAAAGGACAAAAGTTCTCTTGTGACAGTCACAGAGAAATCAGTTTAATTATTATAGTGTCTTAAATATTAGCTTCAATAATACTTCGACGCCTAACTAAAGCTCGCGAAGAACAGACTAGAGAAAACCAGTCTGGTTTTCGACCTGGGTGTGGTGGTATAGACCAGATATTGACACTACGTCAGGTCCTAGAACATAGATACACATTCAGACGTCCCATAATTGTGGTATTTCTCGACCTTAAGGCGGCATTTGACTCTGTTGATCGTAAGGTTCTATGGCAGTGTTTGTCACTGAAAGGAGTACCAAAGAAGTACGTTAACCTTATTCAGGCTCTCTACTCCAACACAACTGGTAGAGTGAGAGCTTATGGCGAACTGTCATCAGAATTGATTACCTCAAGTGGTGTTCGTTAGGGCTGTTTACTCTCTCCATTCTTGTTTAACTTTGTCGTAGACATGCTTTTAGAGATGACACTTTCCTCATCTAAACTTGCAGGGGTTGAACTTCTACTGGGAGATTCACTTGTTGACTTAGAATACGCCGATGACATAGTTCTATTTGGTGAAAACACTGGCAAAATGTAGAGACTTCTGGCCACTCTAAGCAACAATGCAAGCATGTTCGGGATGCGATTTCCCCCCCCCCCCTCGAAATGCAAAATGTTGCTTCAGGATTGGGTTGCATCGGCACCTAAACTAATAATAGGGAGTGAAGTAGTTGAGGGCGTCGACCGCTTTACTTATCTTGGAAGTCTAATCAGTCCTTGTGGTTTGTTGTGTGACGAAATCTCAGCACGGATAGAGAAGGCTCAACTGGCTATTACCAACTTGCGTCATTTATGGCGTAGGCGAGATATCCGTCTGCTAACCGATGGACGAGTTTACTGTGCAGCAGTCCGTTCCGTCCTACTTTATGGCAGTGAAACATGGCCGGTAAGAGTAGAGGATATTCGTAGGTTACTAGTATTCGATCATAGGTGTCTTCGAAACATTGCTCGTATATCCTGGGACCATCGAGTAAATAATGTAGTTGTTAGGAAACGGGTACTAGATAAGGATGGCAAATCGACTGATGAAGTAATGAAACTTCATCAGTTGAGATGACTTGGACACGTGTTACGTATGCCCAACCACCAACTGCCCCGACGTGCGATGTTTCTGGTGTAGGAGTAGTTTGGAAGAAAGCTAGGTGCGGCCAAACCAAAATATGGCACAAATCCATGAAGTCACTGACGAGCCGACTGAGCCATGTTGGTAGGTGTAGACTACCTGGTTAGGATACGCGAAATGATAGAAACCGATGGTTAAAGACCCTGAATGACATGGCTCAAAATCGATGCAATGGCGTAGGTGCATCCACTCTTTGTGTCCTCCCAAATTCTAATCTTTCGAATTCTTCATGTCCCTTTTTCCTCTTTCCAAACTTATTTCATTGAATTATACTCTTTAAATAAAATCTCCAAACCCTAATGTTTCCGATTACTGCTTATACTTTGACTACCTCTACCACTAAAGGATTTGAATCGACCATAGTATCTCTGTGCTAATGTGGTGTGGCAACTCAAACTGATGTACGTACGTACGAAGTTCTAAGTTGTTACTGACTGACCGATTCCATTTAATTTCAATTTTATCTTACATTTTAGACATCTAAAAAGTATTTGTAAGTGTTTTTGGCTAAATATAGACACATATTTCTGTCGAGCTGCTAGATATATTGGTACATTGCTCATTGTTCTATCTCATTTTCTTTCTCAATACTTTCTTCATTTTTCCTCTCCTTAATCTGTTTGTTACGAATTAAACAATTAACTTTTATATGATTAGTTAATCATTTTATCAAACGAGTATTTTTATGACAAATGCGGATCAGAAATGTTGTTTAACATACAAAGCATTAATTCATTAGCAGACCGAAAAACAAGTTCCTAGAGCACTGTGTGGATTTTGACTTAAACGGGAATAGGTCTCTAGCCTGTCTCAAGAAGAGTAGAAAGCTTCAGTAGGCAAGCAACCTTTTTCCTTATTCTGTTTACAATTATGAACTGAACCAAAACTAAATTAGGCAACAGTATTGACTTTTATTCATCTGACTCTTATAAAATTTGTTTGACAGAATTAGTAGTCACTACGTTGTATGAAATCTATGTTATAAAGTGTTTGGTGAACATTACTTAAGTATTTTATGGATTCGAAATAAAAGCATTTTACCGGTCAATCATCGAACAATGACAAGGATATCAGAATCTTGGGATGTTCAGTTGATTTCTACTCACTTTTGTCGTACGGCCGGAGTTTTTGACGGGACCAGGATTCTTCTTGTTTTAGATGGATGTCAAACTTAATAATTAAACTGTTGTGTGTGATTACATTTTTAAACTGGGAATCTAATGATGTCAAAGAACAATATAAGATCAATCAATGTTTTGGAATAATTCCTTTTATTTGTCTTCAAATGTACAATGTCTACTGTATTTAAAAAAGTAGATTAACACAGTATAAAGTTTAATGCGTTCAAAAACCTTTTGAAATGTTAAATGTATTCTCGGCAGTAGCTAAAAAGTTTTGAAAATTAAAATAAATAAATAAAAGTAGGTCAACAGGATTAAAACAGTAATAATTTGATTTTTCACTATCGTTGTTTAGAGAAGTCAAATATGATGGATTTGTTATGCACGTTTTACGTTTGTTACCATCTGTTTTTAATTATGTACTTATTACACCTCTGAAAACTATAGAGTAAGCAGTCCTGTACATGTTAAGAGAAGATTTGTTAAGTTAGGTGGTCGGTAACAAGTTTTTCCATATTTTATCTCACTAATCTAATGATTAGATATTCAAGAAAATAGTTCGTATCATTAATAACGCTTCAAATTATATCAACCAATATAGATTTGAAAATAATTGTACTTATGATGCTATATTACTAAAACAGTCAGACTCAATGAATCCAGCTGTTTATACATAGTGCTATTGCAGAAAGTTATTTGGGGTTTGTTTATAGTATGAATAGCTCACAGGGGACAAAAATTTCAAGCGGTGCAGTTTCAGAAGAAGTAACAGGAAACGAATGACATTGGTACAAAAAGTGCTTGCTATTACCTGCCCATCATGAACAAAATACAACCGTAAATTTACGGGTATACAGTTCAACTTGGTAATTCAGAAACGTTTGCCCGTAATCTATAATTGTTTTACGTAGAACCCTTCATTTTCTCATTCATAGACATTTCATCCATTTAATTGGAGGAATTTAACTTTTGTTTGCTGATTGGGATTACAGCAAAATGCGGACACATACGGAAACTTACTAGGTACTCAATTTAAAATCATCTACTCCATCGATGAGAGCCTTGGAAGAGTGTCAGAATACAAGTTAATTGCACGGCAGTCCATTCTACTCTAAATTATTATAAGTCGAGGAAATAATAATTTTACAGATAATCGATCATAATTGTATCCAGATGGTTGTTTGTGTATCACCAAACTAGTAAATGGCGATAACAATAATCATTTAGAAAGTTTTGAAGAACAAAGAGAAGTAAATTGATTATTTACGCGTTCTACTTGTAGTAGCTGAGGTGTTTAGTTCTCATGCTAGATGTAGTGAACCAACTTGTATCTCAACATGAGATGTTGATAGGAATAAAATTAAATAAAAAATGAACAAATACAACCACAAAAAGGATCCATAAGTTTCATTGGGGAATTCAGACTTACAATTTAAGATTCATAAGGTGCGATGAATCAATAGCATGGTTTCACAGTAGTGTAGATGAATTTTCTGCTCATCTTTATTGACACCATGTAAGCAACACTATAAAATTATCATTCGCGTCTGAAAATTTATCGTTTTTTAATTTTGTTGCAAGTTTCTTCTCTCAATGAACTGTTCTTTCTGACACGGGACAAATTATCTCAAAATTAACCAGTGGATTTCTTTCGCGATTTTTCACGCTGTTTAATCTTTCTGTTTATAACACGATTATATGAACGAAGAATATTCAATTCATTTTCAATAATAATGAGGAATTATTGAAAAGAATATTCTTCGTTCATACAATTCTGTTTTAATATAATGGCAATTTTTAAGCGATCAAAAACTTTCTGTTCATGTTAGAAATTCATTTAGTTCCACAAAGTCTTGCCTATTCCTCCATGCCCATACGTTTATAAGCGTGATTTGTGACTGACACTAGTAAACAATTGTAAGACTGCGAATGTTTTCCTTATAAATACTTATATACTTGTCGTCAGAAAATATCCAAAGCAATTTCCATTTTGAATATAAGAAAACTGAAGTTTTATTTTCCATTTTTAAATTTCTTATATAAGTAATGAGGATGAATAAAATTTGTTTTTGTAGAGATTAGTTTTCTCTAAGCAGTTATAGTCTATAAATTTCATTTGATTGGGCTGTAGATTGCTACATTTTTCTTAAAAATTATCATAACGAATATATTAAGGAATCATTCGTCGATGTTTTTGACCCAGAAATAAGTATTCTGTGTTCTAGTTGAGCTTCAAGTTATTGCACACTTACATATTCAGAATAAAATTATATTACGCAGACTTTGGCTTGTATTGAGAATGCTCTTCAGGATAGAGTATGCCTTCATCTTACAATTATTTAAAATTGGTTAAATTCAAGGGATGAAGCCTAAGACATTGTTAACTGGTTCCAGTAGTAAACGAGGTTTAAAAAAGTTATATCATATTTATGTATGCATTTATTTAGATGATAGACGACTTTCTACTCATAGTTGTTAATAACCTAATGTTGAAACAGTGGCATTAGGTCTCCTGGATAATAGACAAGTACATTTTTAATTAAACATGATTCAGTGGTAGAACCATCATTTTAATTGGTATACAGTTTAGAAAACTGATTACTAGATATAAGTCATCGACTAATTTCACATTATGTCAAAGTCGATTTCGTACTTTAGAGTCATCCGCACTTCTTCAGTTAAGGAATATAAGGTGATCACTAAGTTAGATAATCGGACAGGGTAAATATTATCCCATCGCTGCTTCAGATTATCATTTGCCTGATCGCGTTCTATGACATTCAAATTGAAATGAAGCATGAGAGAATAAGTAGCTTATGGGAGTATCAATTAATTAATATAACCAACAGCGCATACAAATGAATACGGGCAAATATTTTATTGAAAAAATAGTACAACAATACAAATTAATATGATATTTAATCAAATTTCAACATAAATGTTGTGGTCTGATAATATCAATCATTTTGCATGTTTATATAGAGACACAAAGTTTATGTTCATTATTTCAAACAGTTTAGCTGCGGAAATACTTTTGTTTAACCAGCCTTCTAAGATAATCTTAGTCGTAAGATAATAATATTTTGTTCTCATGAAAATTCTTATGAAATATTTTGAAAATAAATTTTCCACACAACGTAACTGGATGGACGGAGCGTAAGTCAATTTACAAACTGCTTTTTGAACGAGAAATTTATTCAAATGCGACCACCACCTAGTGAAAGACCCAACTTACAATCAAAAATTTCAAGAAAACGTAATGATTTGAACAAGGTCTTTAAAATATAGTGATTTTTTCTATCACAGTAAGTTTCTTCAAAAGTTCTACGCATCTTAAGTTTCATTGTACATTAAACGACGATTTTTTTTACAATTATGTACAAATGTTTTCTAACTTTTAAATAATACAGACTTTTGAGAAGGTTTTAGTGCAAAATATACTACATGGTCGATCAATAGTTCTGTGCGAGGCTATACACTCAATAAGCAGATGGAAATTTGTGAAGGCTGCATTACCTCATGTACTCCATTGTGGTGCTATAATGCTTCGAGAAAAGTTACGGGACAAGTCTGCTGCAGACCTACCTCATCAAAAACATACGTTAAACAGTTGCGGATTGTCTCATGATCGAACACGACTGAATTTCAGTCAGACAGAAACAAAGTTGCTCTACACACTTCACTGGATTCTATTAGATGCCGCTTCAGAGTGTGAGGATGCAGAAATAGAGGCTTCTAATCATCCAGGTAAAGTTTTGTTTTATCTAGATCAAAGTAAGCTAAACTCAATCTCAATAATACCTCGGTATTATTCCTAACAAAACAATACTAAATGTATTTTCCATGACAGTGATATAATGATAAAAAATTCGCATCTAGATCTTTTTTTTGATCATAATTATGTTACTATATGAGATGATGTCCATCTAGCAGGTCGGAGAAGAAAAGAGTTGATTTTTGTAACTAATTTCATAATCGAACTTAAATCTTGTTTCGCATAATTAGTAGTTCTTTTCACCTTCAGCATGAAGTATAATTCAAATACCTATATTTTACAGTTTTAATTATCTCCAATATTTATTGAAAGCTGAAAATTAGGTTTATCCAAACTTCACCAATTTTTTATGATACTCGAATATTACTGCAATTAGAGACTTATTCTATTTCATTGTGATTATTGACCCATATTGCCGTGATTGGTTTACATTTTCGTATAAATATTCATGTATATTAGAGTAAAGCCTGATGACGATCTAATTGAAAACAATATTGTTCGCTTATATGTGTTGTTCTAATTTTCACAATGAGAATCTTTAAAATTAAATCTATGTCGGGTAATGATACATTTTAGTGCTTATTTTGAATAAAGTTAAGAATGATTCTGTCATTGATGAATGGAGTCACTATTAAAAGGTTTTTTAATTGTAAAGCCACTTTAGATAGAGCTGACTGAATCTACTTGTTTTCGCGAAATATCTGCACTTTCTTACGTCATGATTCAAAGCAAAAAAGAAGTTGAACTTAAGAGTGAATGAATTAAATCAGCGTTCCAGGTAAATACAATTCACTTGCAAGTGGTGTAAAATTTTATGAGACGTGGTTCAGTATTTCTTACACTTATTTAAATTTAGATCAAAATATGTTTCAGGTCGAAAAGTGAATAAAAATATTTACTGTTATATAAGTTAATGAAGTTGTTCAACAATATTCTCGTCGATCTTTTTGATACTTGCTTCATTTGAATATAGCTTTCGTTTTTCCGATTTCAAAGGTTAATTACACGGATGAAATCAAGTCATCCAATACAATATGCTGTATGATCACTCGAACTACATTTTCACCTAGTGTTCATGGAAAACGTCAGATTTCCGACATTCAAAACCACATTTATGCCAAGTTACTGTTTTGTTTTACTAATGAGTCCCATCAAACAAGAAATGCTGGTATACGTGGTTTTACATCTTAGCGACTAGTACCACTATTTATAAATAGACAAAGTACAGGCTAAACACATAACTAAAATATTTTGGAAATGTTTCATCCAGTTCAGCTAAGTCATTGATGTCCAATCATAATTGTGTCACTTGGACTTTCATGCTTGCTCCACATAGCAGTAAAAATATATAGTAATTAAAGTGTCGTATTGACTTTACTTGTTCACATATAAGTAAACTGTACAATCGCAAATATATATACTTATTTTTACAGGGTGATAATAATACTGATAATAAACTTCTGTTATACATGGTGACAGTGAGGTTAAATAAACAAAGGTATTAAAAAATTTTAAACAAGGGAAGTTTAATAATCGTTTGATAGTTAATGGCTGAAGTATCCATTGGGTAAGGATGGCTCAGCATGATAAAATAAAATGTTGAAACGGAGATGAAATGTGATCGGAATGATCGTGGAAATAAAAACAAACCGGTTGGCCTGAAGTCCCTCCGGGGGCTACTGCCGGTCCCAAGCCCGGATAAAGGAGGAGGGTTGGGCATGGGGTTAGCGTCCCTATCCCGTAGAAAACTAACTCGCTAAAAAACGCTAAGCAGAAAGAATTATTCAAACCTTTTAACCTCTGCCCTGGGAGTCAGAAGGTCTTCATTTAGAAGAACTATGACGCCTCATGATGAAAGCCGAATCCCTTCGGAAGTTACGAGGCCGATGCCCCTTCTGACAACCAGAGCGACCATTTATTTAGGTACATGGAATGTTCGTACAATGTGGGACACCGGGAGAGCTTTCTAAATTGCTGCAGAAATGAGAAGATACAACCTAGAGGTACTTGGGATCAGTGAAAAACATTGGACGCAAGTTGGACAACAACGACTAACTTCAGGAGAGCTTCTGTTATACTCCGACCATGAAGAAGAAAATGCCCCACATACACAAGGAGTTGCATTGATGCTGTCCAAACAAGCGCAAAATGCGCTTATAGGATGGGAATCTCATGGACCAAGGATCATCAAAGCCTCGTTCAAAACAAAAAAGGAGGGCATTACACTGAATATCACCCAATGCTATGCGCCTACCAACGACTACAATGAAGACGCTAAAAATCAATTCTACAATAGGCTGCAGTCAATCGTCGAGAAATGTCAAACAAAGGACCTGACCATTCTGATGGGAAATTTCAACGCCAAGGTTGGAACGGACAACACTGGATATGAAGACATCATGGGACGACATGGACTGGGAGAAAGAAACGAAAATGGTGAGAGATTTGCAAACCTATGTGCCTTCAATAAACTGGTCATAGGCGGCACCATATTCCCACATAAACGCATTCACAAAACCACATGGACTTCACCGGATCACACCACGCAAAACCAAATCGACCATACTTGCATCAACAAAACGTTCAGGAGGACTATAGAGGACGTGAGAATCAAGAGAGGAGCTGATATAGCATCAGATCATCACTTGCTGGTCGCCAAGATGAAATTGAAACTCAAGAAGCACTGGACAATGGGGCGGACAATATCACAAAGGTCCAATACGGCCTTTCTTCAGGATACTAACAAACTCAGCAAATTCAAGATAGTCCTCAGCAACAAGTTCCAGGCCTTTCATGTTCTACTCAATGGAGAAGGAACTACTGTGGAGAGCAACTGGAAGGGGATCAAAGAGGCAATCACTTCAACATGTCATGAGGTCCTGGGTCACAATAAGCACCATCACAAGGAATGGATCACTGTTGATACACTGGATAAGATTCAAGAAAGGAGAAACAAGAAGGCAGCAATCAATACCAGTCGAACAAGAGCAGAAAAAGCCAAGGCACAAGCTGAATACACAGTAGTAAACCAACATGTGAAGAAAAGCATCAGAACCGACAAACGTAAATACGTGGAAGATCTAGCAAAGACGGCGGAAAAGGCTGCAAGAGAAGGGAACATGAGACAACTGTATGACATAACAAAGAAACTCTCTGGAAATCGCCGCAAACCAGAACGACCAGTGAAAAGCAAAGAAGGCGAGGTAATCACCAACATTGAAGAGCAACAAAACAGGTGGGTAGAACACTTCAAAGAACTCTTGAATCGACCAGCTCCACTGAACCCACCCAACATCGAAGCAGCACCCACGGACCTCCCAATCAACGTTGGCCCACCAACAATTGAAGAAATCGGCATGGCCATCAGACAAATCAAGAGTGGCAAAGCGGCAGGACCGGACAACATTCCAGCAGAGGCACTAAAAGCAGACGTAGCGGCAACTGCAAGGATACTCCACATTCTCTTTAATAAGATTTGGGATGAGGAACAAGTACCAAAAGACTGGAAAGAAGGACTTCTGGTCAAAATACCGAAGAAAGGCGATCTCAGCAACTGTGATAACTACAGGGGCATCACTCTTCTTTCAATACCGGGAAAAGTCTTCAACAGAGTAATGTTAAACAGGATGAAGGACTGCGTAGATGCCCAACTTCGTGACCAACAGGCAGGATTCCGTAAGGATAGATCGTGTACAAACCAAATCGCAACTCGACGGATCATTGTGGAACAATCAATTGAATGGAATTCATCACTCTACATCAACTTCATTGACTACGAAAAGGCATTTGATAGCGTGGACAGGACAACACTATGGAAGCTTCTTCGACACTACGGCGTGCCTCAGAAGATAGTCAATATCATACGGAATTCCTATGATGGATTACGCTGCAAAATCGTGCATGAAGGACAGTTGACAAAGTCGTTCGAAGTGAAGACCGGTGTTAGGCAAGGTTGCTCACTCTCACACTTTCTCTTTCTCCTGGTGATCGACTGGATCATGAAGACATCAACATCTGAAGGGAAGCACGGGATACAATGGACATCTAGGATGCAGTTGGACGATCTGAACTTCGCAGATGATCTGGCCCTTCTATCCCAAACGCAACAACAAATGCAGGAGAAGACGACCAGTGTAGCAGCAGCCTCAGCAGCAGTAGGTCTCAATATACACAAAGGGAAGAGCAAGGTTCTCCGATACAACACAGCATGCACCGATCCAATCACAATTGACGGAGAAGATTTGTAAGATGTAAAAACCTTTACATATTTGGGCAGCATCATTGATGAACAGGGTGGATCTGATGCAGATGTGAAGGCGCGGATCGGCAAAGCAAGAGCAGCATATTTACAACTGAGGAACATCTGGAACTCAAAGCAACTGTCAACCAACACCAAGGTTAGAATTTTCAATACAAATGTCAAGACAGTTCTACTGTATGGGGCGGAAACCTGGAGAACTACGAAAGCCATCATCCAGAAGATACAGGTGTTTATTAACAGTTGTCTACGCAAAATACTTCAGATCCGTTGGCCGGACACTATTAGCAACAACGTACTGTGGGAGAGAACAAACCAGATCCCAGCGGAGGAAGAAATCAGGAAGAAGCGCTGGAAGTGGATAGAACACACATTGAGGAAAGCACCCAACTGCGTCACAAGACAAGCCCTCACATGGGATCCTCAAGGCCAAAGGAAAAGAGGAAGACGAAAGAACACATTACGCCGAGAAATGGAAATAGACATGCGAAACATGAACAAGAATTGGATGGAACTAGAAAAGATGGCCCAGGACAGAGTGGGTTGGAGAATGCTAGTCGGCGGCCTATGCTCCATTGGGAGCCGTTGTCTCCTCTTTTTTGGTCACGCCAGACAATGTTCTTGATTTGTTTGGGATAAAATACGCATCGAACGACCTATGTACCTAGCTCCACAAGAGCAGGTAAATTAGTAAATGCACATTGAGTTGGCCAGATACGATAATTTATCTTTCAGATTATTGGTGAACAGCGATCGGCTGGAAAATAATATTCGCAATGTTGCTGCGAAGAATGTTCTTTTTAACGAATCCGAAATTCTTTTCTTTAATATATATGCGGCCCTATCACCTTTGAAATCGATGTTCATGTATAAAATTTTCTTTTCTACTGTAATTGTTTGTGGTTTCGGCATTTTTGTCTTCATGTTCTTATCAATGAATATAGAAGGATATCCGTTTTTGATAAGTATCTCTTTTAAAAGACTCAATTCTTCTTCTACGACTTCGGGGCTACAGATTCTTCGTATTCTTGTGGCCAGAGTTATTATTAAGTTTCTTTTTCGGCTGATGGGATCCCAACTGTGGAAATGTGATAGCTGGCCATTCCACATGGGTTTCCTGTAGATAAATCTTTCTAAAGTACCATCCTGTCTTCTTGTCGTATCTACATCAAGGAAGTGAATATTTTGTTTGCTTTCGACTTCAAGTGTGAATTTTATTGATGCGTGCTAATTATTGAATGTCTCTAGATCACTTAAGTTACATTTGTTGTCACAAATGATAAAGATATCATCCACTCTTTCTTTCTTATTTAATGTCGTAATGGGTGTATTCCGTTTATTATATAAATAAACCACATTTTAAAAAATTACGAATGAATCTTACCTTGGTTCTGAAATTCGTTAACTTAGTCAGTAGTCTACGGTGGCCATTCTTTGAAACTATACTATAATCCCTGTAATCTGCTTATATTTCCGAAGCTGATTTAAAGGAAAATGATTTCACGTTTTGAATAAAAACTAACTGTGAATTACATTATCTAAAACTGGTTTCACATCTGTGTAGTAAGGACAGAAGGCTTACGATCTATGTTATTCCTGTTCTAGTATGCTTCTGTGAGTGTCTAGTCTTCTCTTGAATGAGTCAATTGAAGGTGCGGATATCACTGCCTTGGGTAACGAGTTCCAAGAATTGATGACTTGGTGTGCAAACCTGTATGCCATGGGTATTTTGTTCGTTCTTGGATTTTCTACTCGCCTGCTATGTCCTCTGAGATGTCCCGATCTACTGAGAAGAAAAAGAGAGGATATATTAGGTCCGGCAATGCCTAGTTTTCTAGCTTTAAGAGAAGTCTAACTGTTGGTATCTTATCGAATTCTTTGCTGAAGTCTACGTAGACAACATCCACTGATTGTCCATTGTCTAGAGCCTTTATCCATTTCCCCCTTGCTACAAGGAGGTTTTTGTGCACGATAAACCTTTTCTGAAACCATGTTGTTCACTGTTTAACAAGTTGGTTTCCACGAATGTCTTTTTGGCTATTCTTCCCAGCATTTTAACTACGACACTTATGAGGCTGACAAGTCTGTAATTTGGTGGAAGTTATCTTGGTCCTGTTTTATGTATTGAAGTAATGATTGCATCTTTCCAGTCCGTAGGTAACACATCTTAGGTAGGTGAGATATTGAGTATCACAGTTAGTGAGGCTGCAATATATTATGCAAGTTGTCTCAGGATTTCGGGGTTTATTTCATCAGGTCCTGTTGATTTTTCCGTACCTGTAGTACTGATGGTTTTAAGCACGTCATCTCGACTAAAGTTCACAGTGAGCAGACGGTTTGTTGACTTTGTATTTGGATCTAGTTCTTCATCTAAAAGAGGCTCTTGAGTGAAAACTGTCCTGAAATAGTTTGTCATAACCTCTGCTTTTTTCTGATCATCCTCTATCATTTTAGATCCACTCCCGTAATTAGGCTGGTAATCCAATGCTACATCCTCGTTCTGTAATTTATATTCGAGAATAGTCTCTTAGGATGCTTGATTGCAGATTGTGCCGACTGCATTTCACATTTTCTCTGAGCTTCCCAGATTTTAATTATAAACTTATTTCTTACCAACCTGTAACATTCCATCGTACTTGCTGTACCAAACTGATGGCAACGTTTTAGAAAACGTCGAATATCCCGGCCTATCCAGAAATGACCGTGCTTCTTCTTCTTTGGGACTGTCCAGGATATATACGCTTGATTTCACTGATTATATAACTGCCTGAAAAGAGTTCATGACTCTTCTACTGATGCCCTTGAGTCAATTATCCAGTTTTCAGCCGATGCTGAAGAGTGTATCATCATGTTGTTGTACATGCTCTAACATATGAGCTGAGTAATGCAAAATAGGGTGTTTCAAAGTGGTGAGGTTAGATTACATGCTTGATTTTATGTGAGCTTGTTCTAAAGGAACTATCCCTGTTCAGTGGTTTTTTCTTCGTTTCTCTTGAAGGAATATACTTTTTTAAGCTATAGAAATATGTGAAGATTTTTCCTATTTCAAATTATATATCCAGAGAATTAACTTACAATTCAATCTCTTTTTGACATCAAATCCTAACCTCTAAAGATAGAGATAAAAGATTGAAAAAAATCTATCCAATTCATGAAAAGGAATGAACAAGTGATTGGATGAATTGTAAATACGTTTGCTTACATATTTCGCTACCACAGATTACAAGGAACACATCATTTACTAAGCAAATTTAGGAAAATCTAACCTAATTTTTTTAAAATATTGATCTTAAATTATTCATTTTTCTTTTATGCATCCAGTTAGATCAATTTTTAGGCATATAGACGTATGGACAGGGTGATAAATGAGTCACCTTTCAAGTCCATAAGCAAGGTTTTTGGACGAAAATATTTAAAAATCCCCGTAGAGTCTTTAAAAGCAAAGAGTATTAGAGCGAATGATCGTTTTCCGAAACTTCATCAGGCTCTACCGTTGCTGTTCGTTGATCGAATAGTCAGATATGTTTGTATATAAGTTTATCATCTATGTAATTAGAGGTTAAACTGAAAATGAACATTTTCTTACAAAAATGTCTCACTCCTGATGTTTAACTGTGAATAGAGTGATAAAATATTTTATAGTGAGTTTGTAGATATCGGTGCAAAGGTTGGACTTGATAGTCTCAAATAAACTGAGCATTGGTTAGAAAGTAAATGGTAAATATACTATTTGTGATATCCCAATGAGTAGAGAATGGCTTATTTACTCTGAAGAAGTAGCTTACATTAAATCACGAAACGTCTAAAATGCAATTTTCAACTCATCGAAATATCACAAATCGTATATATTTTATTAAAAGATTTTATGATTTATATCTAGTATCCTGACAGGATAACATTTCTAATCAGCTTATCTTAAAAACTACCGTACATATTAGTTCACTTACATGAATAAAGACAAGTAAATCACACTATCCTTCTGTATATAATAGTCAAACTTAAAACTTTCAATGAAAATAACCTCTCCGAATCGAGTTTGATTTAAAGCTGTTTTGTTTGCTTGCTATCTCAAGAGTGGTAGCAATATTCATTGTACGCAAACTATTCGCTAGGTATGACACAATTTAACCTGTCAATTTTATTCTTCGATCCTAATATGTTTGTCGAGACGTTTGACTTTCCTTCAGCAATTCTCAGTAACTTTCTCCAACGACTACGTTCAAGTCTGTAAACGAAGCAAAAAGAAATCTGAAATGAACTATTTTTGATTGATTTAGTGAGAAGTTAGTATTGTATACTGTAACCGGTTTGTCTAAGCGAAAGCTTCCTTTTTAAGACTCTTATCATTATTTTTTGTCATTTCTTTCATAGTGTCCTCCATTCACATAAGTTACCGAAAACAACCTTTTCAAATGATATTTGAAATGAACTATAGTTAATAAAAGAAATTTTCAAGGTTTTAGGTTTTACTTAATTCTGGATCTGTTTAATATTTATAACTCGGTGATTCTCTCAAATATGTGTCGGTATAAAAGAATTAACATTATTTTTTTATTGTCTCTCACAAAAAAGCTTCCATACCCAAACATTCAACTGATCGTTATGTTCACGACTTGGCGTCACTTCAATTATTCATCTATTTATATGCTCCAATTATTGAGCAACTTAAGCCAACCGATTTCGATACTCTCAAGTTAGAAGCAGGATTACGCTTATGGATTCCATTAATGGAATATTGTCAACCAAATCGTGGGACATTATCATCACCTGTTAAATTTTTTACTCATGATTCAAATATACTATCTCGGCCAGTGGTAACAAATATAGATGGAATAGAAAGTCCTAAAACGTCATCCATTTTAAACGATTATATTAAGAGAAAATCTTTGAGTTTGGAAACTTCTGAAGAAATACCTTCGAATGTTCATACTGTTAATATATCGGATAAGGGTTCCGAAATCAATCATAAATTACCATTAGCTGTGAAATCATTCGAGTTCTTAGTTGACAGTGCTTCCATCCCCCATGTTGAAGCCAATTCAGATGTGAGTTTTTCACTGTTTTCCGTAATTGTTCATATTTCATTTTCTAAATAAAAGTGCAATCTGGTGATTATAAATAAATGGTTGAAATTTTGATAGTAAAAGAATTACACATTGGCTTAAACTCTTATCAACTCCAATATCTCTTGTCTGAAAACACTATGTACATAACGTTCAAATTACTAGTCTGTCAATCGAGATGAATATTTACTAAATACTACGACAAGTTTAGCATCATTCATTTAAACTAGCTAGCAATTTGTTTTTAACCTTTAGGTTACTTTGAAAACCGTGCTCTAACATATACTTTATTTCAGAGGTTTTAGGCCATATTACAAAAGAGCTGTTTCAAAAGAATATCATCGTAGTTTGTAGAAACTTTAGCAGTAGTCGAAATTGTTTTGTTTCATTGTGATCAGATCTCATTAGAAATAAAAATAAACTCAAAGTTTTTACTCAGTTATCATGAATATTGGGTGTACAACATTGTGGATCGTTGGCGACAGAAAACGCTCGGATACATATGATCGTACACATAATCAGCTGTGAACCAAATGGTGAATACGTTTCTATTTGACAAAGTAGCGTAGATGTTTTCACTTCTTATGATAATGCTTAGTCTAAATTCCATTTCATTTTTTGTGTTTAATTCTGAGAAGTCCCCTTGTTATGTATTCATAAATTTTATTTTTCACAGGCTAAAATATGTATCAGTTTTAACTCTTAGTGTGCTCATCGACTTATGTTTATGTAAATTTTACTAATTGTTGTTTCGTTGATATCATGAACTAACTATTGTCTTCGATAGATAACAGCCTTACACCCGACATATTTGGACACCATTGGTCAAGGCTTGTCACTAGTCCCAAAATTACAATTTGAAATTAGTCATTAGCGGGTATATGCTAATTATCAGAATAGAGGTTTGTACAGATTATTGAGTGTTATTTCTGGAAGATGGTCATGCAGTAAAGTTAGAACGATATCTGCGGACTTGGATTATGGTTCAGTGGTTTAAAGGCTTAACCCTGTATTCTAGTTCTGCGCGGATGCACACTGATGAAGAGTCCCGTACTAGGACGAAATGGCTGTCCAGTGATCCCTGATTTCCGACGGATGTTTAGTTTCGGTTATTTCGTGATATTAGTAACATTTAATAACGTCCATGAACTACGCTGATAAGGATTATTTTGGTTTTGAATTCAGTATGACCTGTGAAAAGTAGTACTCATAAATTGTAAGTATACTTAAAACATAACTTCATATAGAGTGTAAGGCTAAAAATGTTTTAGGTCATGACTGCTGCAAGAATGAGCATATAGAAATTATTTTGATAATGAAATCATGGTTTGAAATATAAAAGGACCTTGCTAATAATGAAACTTCAATCAATGGTTACTGAATTTAGTTGTGGTTTTATATATGGTTAAGATGATAAAGAAATTCAGTTATTTGAAGATCTCTGAGTCAAATTATCTTTCGATTTTTGTTTTCTTTTAAAGTCAGTTATTATTATGATTATATTGATAAGTTGACCTGCTAGTCAAAATTATCTCGAACAGTCTTTCATAAAAGTTTGAAAAAGGTATACAGTATCTATTGTTGATTTATGCGTTTCAGCGAAAACGGGTAAAAGTTCGTTACTGAAAACTTCATTTTTAGAATCCATTACGGATGTGTGATGACAAAGATTTGTAGAACTGATTGATAAAATTATGTTGGTCACCTGTTTGTTTATTATGTTTCTCTCTTCATTGCTTGTTACCATTTTTCCGAAATACCGAACTGTTTCCACGAATAAGCGCTTTTTTTGATATATTGTCAATGAATTCGTTAAAGGCAACATTGATATATGTCAATAATTTACATGTGGTTCTCAAATTCCAACTGAACCGGAGAATTTCAGTGTGATGTGTTAATAAGGTTTCCCTGTGATTCTATTCACTGGCCAATTTTTATATGTAGAGTAGTAGCTCCATTGTTTCAACGAATGCTATGCTAGAAAGGAATACTTTATGAGTGAAAAACCCAGGGTTGAAACAAACACGTTTTGTAATAAACGATTCTCAACATTATCCTTTTCGTATTGAAATGTATTGTATTGGTACGAAACCACATTTGCAAAAACACTGTTATATTTTAATCCCATTAAACAACTACTTAGAACTCATAAGTTATGTATTCTAATCACAGGTCTCATATAACCTTACAATATTCATTATTATACTGGTTGCTAATCTAATGAACAGTTATCCTTCATGCTTCAAGGGATACCTGGAATATTGAAAGGAGATATGATCGAATCGGAACTCAAGACAGGCCACTTAGACGTTTGTTTTTTAGCGAAAAGCCTAGATTCACGGCTTCTTATCTTCTACTTACAACCACACAACACAAAGATATTCGATGTCCAGTTACTTACGCTAATATATACATTTAAGCATTATCGATAGAGTTTCATTAACTGTAAGTACTAGACGAATGTGATGTTGATAACTAGTCAGTGTGCAATCAATCAATCCATGATGATGAAGTTTTCGTAATCATCTTACATTCTATCTCTTAAAATCCCTTTGACAAAACAGATAATTTATTCATTTAAATATTTATATTTTACATAGGAGTCAGTAAGCAGTGCAATAAATATTCCAGATAACTATCAGCCTTCACTGAATCATGCGCATAACGCAACTGGGCATATCTTACGTTTACAACCCCCCAAAGCCACACCTGAATACCTGGATGATGAGGAAGAATTCAGCGAAAAATCCATTTCAGAAGCTGCAGTCACAGGAACGACGGCCACAGCAGCAGTTGTGCCAGACATGTCTCCACCAAAGCAAGTAAGTATGCACGCAATATAGAATGTTATGGGTTTGTAAAGGGAAGAAAACTGTCGTGGAAAAATGATATATTCAGATATACAATAAACTGTGTTGTTAACGAGATATTAGTTACGTACATTGATTTCACCAGCGCATGTAGTTTACACTGAGTCGAAGTTTGAAGCATTATTGTTATTAGTCAGTGGAATTTATAACAACAGTGGCTTGATAGTCTCACTCGATCACTCGTGATATGGCCGACTCATCTAATTATCACCAACAGAACCTTAATTTTTTAAAGATAGGTCATACAATGGTTTGTTTGTGATACAAACATTTTCATGCACGCATTGTTTGAATGCACAAGTTGGCAAGGTTTCTACGTTCTAGTCACTAGCTTAAGATTAATAAGATGATCGGTAGGCTAAATATTTTGAGAACAAAGAACATAGTGCTTTTAAATAATCGGTATTTAACTAAACCGCTATGAATTTTGAAGTGCATTCGTGGATTTCATCGAAAAATCTCTTACAAGAAATCAGTGTTTAATATATTACTGAACTTTCTGAATCTATGCACTTATTTTTGAGATTCACTTTTGTCCAACTAAACCATAGAGAGAATGATTTTTATTGGAGGATTATACAGGGTTGATTTCTTTTAAACATGTTTGGGATGTTGGTCAATGATGTAGTGGAATCTGTTTGATTTTTGAAAGCAATGGGGAATCTTGAGTGATGGATTTCGTTCAGCACCAAGGACTAAACAATATGAAATTATTTATTATTCAGTTGCTTGTTGTCATGAACATGTTATTCCAACATAATATCATTTACGACCAGATTAGGTTTGTCGCAACTTTATGACTACATTAACGTGTGATGTGAGTTCAGAATTTTAATGGTACATTGGTTCTCCTAAGAGTCTCAATAAAACTTTCTGATGAGAACAAACCCGCATATGACTTACGCACATGAATTTTTGGCAATTATCTAACATTGGGTTTCCATATATTCGTCGCTACTAAATTTATCAATTTTGTGTACTGTGTAAGGCTGTTAATTTCATTTCATTGATTCTTATAAATGACTAAACTTTGATTGATTGATCTGTGTCTTGAGAACCATTCCGAATTAAAATAAACATAGGTTGTTATGGTAAGAGTCCTAATTAAAAAAGAGTTAGTGCTTTTTGTGAAACGTAAAATATTTTGGTAAAGCACGTAAATGTTTAAGTTGTAAATTCATTTTTAATAATGTAATGAAGAATTTTATTTAAAGAAACGATCATGTTATGGTGTGTGAAAAAGAAACTTATTCTTAAGCAACGAAGTATGCTGAGCCTCTAATTTTACTCTTACTAAAAAGATATTTTTAGTTTTCGTGGAAATACATTCCTACTTGTACTTGTGATACAGGATAACATTTTATTCAGTGAAATTATTTAACTGTACGTAAATATCTTTTTGGAAGTTCCCATCATATATGCGCTTCAAATAAGTGAATACACAAATCCAGATTGAAAAACTAAACATGTAGATTAGTTTAGTAGATTAACAATTATTCATTTTATTTATTTAATAGGAACAAGAATATGTAGCTCCAGGATTCGAACGCATTCAAAATTTTTTAAATTCATTCACGGATCCGTATAAACAATTATCTGAAAAGTTAAAATATTCTGTGGCCGACAGTGAATTCATTCAACCATCTGTTGGGACTTATTGTATGTTTGCTACACATTGTGACCTGGCTGTAATACGGTGCTTATTCTGTCCTGAATGGTGTGAATCCGGTATCTACTGGTCGCTATGCTATTTATTCAATCGTTTATTGCAAATACGCTCAGAATGGATCAAAATTAAACCGAATAACCGTAAATTATTAAGGTTACGCAGAGGCAATCTTCCACCTGAACACTTGTTTAAATGGATACCAGGATTGTGGTCAGCAGCATCGTCACATCAAGCAAGGATAAATCATATCACTGGAGAAATGGTGAAGGAAATTCGAAGTCTATCATTACCTAATATATCGTCAAGGTGTATGCCAAGTATTTGTCAGCATAATCCAACTGAACAGTGCAACAGAGAATTTGGACAAGACAGTAAAAACAGTAAATTTAGCCAATATTTTTCGAGGTTTGATTTTAGGACGACTGTTACTTGTTTCATGCGTTCAAGTCTGGGTGGTAACATTATCAATTACTAGACACAAAAAAGATATAACGTCAGGCAACATCAAGAATCCCATAATATGTTTATACTATTCATTATTGTCTGTTCTATATATTTATATGTGACCATAACGTATAAAATTTACATGTTCGGAACAGTAAAAAAGTTCTTGTTTCTGTATTAATAATTGTGACCATTGAAATTTTTATTTATTCTTATGAATGAAAAGTCACGCAGGTTTAAACTTTTATAATATCCAGATGTGTTTAGTACCTTTTATCCCTAGTTTATTTAAAAAGATAGGATTATTTGCACTAGGGTACTTTAGTTTGAAGGTCTTTCTTAGCACAGGCAGATAAGTTATAGAAGATATGTACAATCAGCTAGAAACGAGGAGATACATCATATTTTATAATTTAATTTCCTTAAAACCCGTCTGCGACTTTTCAATTAAACTTGGTATTTTAAATGTCCGTGTATTTCTGAAGTATTTAAATATTTGATTGACACTCAGTCCTCGACAGGTAGTTGGATGGATGGTTTTTATAACATGTGAAGCAACTGTGAAATTGCTGGTCATTGAACTGCGAATCACCCTGAAAACTCAGAATCCATAGTTTCGCCTCATATCAAATATTAAAATTAACTGATCCTCAGGGGAAATTATCGGCAGACAATTAATGTTCATTATTTCTTAAAATTTGCTCTTGTTGACATTTCTAAAAATGATGCATCACGATATGTATTAGATTGTACTTTCCAATAGAAGTAAGTGTATTTATATTTCTTATGCAAGAATTCGATAAATGTTTACATTCTTTACCAGATTTAAACCTCGCAAGCATGTGGATCTACTTCATTGTATAAAAATATTTGAAGATATATTGTGCATAAATTTTTGGGTAAAAATAATTACATCTCGGCGACTATGATCCTTATAAATATCAAAATATAAATAATTTCATGCGATTTAATATAAGTAAATTTTAGTTTCTTAGATGAGGTATATACTCAATATTGTAACATCATGTAGTCACTGTGGGTAATAAGATTTTTCTCATTCTAATTTTATAAACTATAGTCTTTTTCTAATCGCAGATGACTTAACTCAACATAAGCATACGAAACAACAGGAAGAACTTTGTGAAGCTCAGTCAAACAGTACCAGTAACATTATCCAATCATACTCTGGAAACAGTGGTACCCCTCCCTCGATCAAACATTCCACTATATCAAGTCATTTGGATGAATCGTTAAATCGTAAAGGTATATCTTGCATAGTTGGATCATCTGCATCTTTATTGAATATTGATAAGTCTGAATCTAACCTTATCAAATTAGAATGCCCAAAAGATAGAGAGCAACAACAATGGCAGCCGCAGCAACTTAATACTAGTCCATTACTAACTGATATTGGTCTCAGTGATTCATCATTTACGCTCCCACTGCCCATTGTTAACTTTGGAGGTCAACAACAGCAGCAACCCGCATGGAGAGGTTCTAAACGTTCAAGAATTACTGATATTAAGGTGATTTAATTACTAATTATTATTTACAATTTCTACCGAAGTTTGCAATTTATTGTTTTCTTCCACATTTTTTGGGAAAAAATGGCAAGAACAATATGGATACTAAGATATCATTTGGGAACTCTCCATATAAACATTCATTGGGTATACTAAGAGATGGAAACATTCCATTCATTCATACTGCCACATAAATTTTGCAATATCAGTACCACTGAATACTCATAAAAATATAAGGTCTTTATGTAAAAAATCGATATCAGTTACATAAGCCTTAGAACGTAGAGAGTATTTTGAACAATTTTTTAAAAACCCAGGAGTTGTTAGGATTGTTTACTCACGAGTAGTCTTTTGATGAAACCTAGGTATATTGTGATTCTCAAGAAGCACCGAAATAGCATAAACGTAAATCTATAAAAATGTATGATTTTATCTTGTAGATGATATTAAGGAAGAAAAATGAATCTAAAGTACTCTGACATGAATGCTTGCTTTAGGTACTTCGGAATGTCCTCTCGATTACTGCAAAGTTTAGGGCTCGCTATGTTGAGCACTCACTTGGTTTACAGAAATACATGAGTTAGTATGTGCACTTTTAGTAACCCATTGGATTGCATTCTAATATGTGAAAATATTATTTTTCTTCACGAATAAATATAACACATGAAAAATGAAAATTATTTTCTTTATTGATATTTTAGGAACGTTTTACTCGGGCGTCAAAGTTCAAATCTGGGGATGCAAGTATGAAATTTCAACCTTTATCTTCAATTGAAGCACCAGGCATGACTAGCATAAACACACTGATCGGTATGTTTTCATATCCATACAATAATAATGCATGTTGAATTGAATATTGACAAACTATGAAAAGAAGACCAAAACCAAATCGATTTTGCAGGTTGATTCAGTAATGGAGTTATATGTTCTTACAAAATACTGAGTAGCTGTTTACCTTATTTCAAGTTTTTAGTCAGAGGCAGTACAGTTCAGGGTTATTTTTCACAAAGATTTTAAACAGTAAATAATAGTCAAACTTAAACTCTGTTGGAATTTTCTTCACTGAATAACCTCATCAATAAGGCGTATCTAAAGACTAATGAAACACAATTTTCAAGGGATTCTAACTAACTTGGCTCAGATAAAGTAAATCTGAGTTCTATCAGTAATGAATGATTCTTTTTATTATTACAGAATGTAAACTGATCTACCTTAATTACTATGTCACTAACAATTTCCTATGTGTACCACGCGTAAAAGTATGTTAGCGTTTAAATATTATTTCGGAAATATTATAGGTCAGCTGTTAATTTGCTTGGGTTTTCGTTACAAACGAAAAGCCATACTACTGATCTGGTTTAAAGTAATAAAACAATGTATTTGATGTTGAATGGAGGTTTTTTTTCCTACTGACTGTAGTTTAGGAGTGGAATTTATCATTTAAATTTCGTATTTTCATTTGTAATGTTAACAGTTACTGAGGTAGAAATACTGTTTTAATTTTTTGCTTGCGAATTCTAGCGGTAAGTGTTTTCGATTATCCTAAAATAAGTACTTTTTGTAATAACAACTTGGTTTTATTTGTTGCTGTAGAATGTGATCAGCCGTCGGTAATGACTGGGGAAAAACAAGTCTCCTATACGCAGACAAAACGATCGGTTCAAACAGGAAGTGAAAAGCTACGGCTAGCGCCAAATGAAAAACCGTTTCAAGGAATCGACACGACAAGTAATGATTCTGAAGCTAATAAACGTGATCCACCTGTTTCGTGCAATGCTTCTTCCCTTCATAGTGGACTTAAACTTGGTTTACCACCTTGTACACCTTCAATAGCAGTGGCTATTAAGTCAGTTGATAACAAAGATACAGTTTCGAATGATGAACAGTTATTTGCTAAGACACTTCCTCGCAGTCTCACTGATTCAGATATAATATATCATAGCTCAGAGAAGGTAATTTTAAATTTTAGATGATTATTTTTAGCTTCTTAATTTCATAAATGTGAATATGTTTGACAATTATTAAGTAAAGCTGAAGTGAAATTTAGGGGAAAGTTAATTTATATCAATGACGGATAAATTGAATTTCTTAAGAAAAAAGTATTTTTATTACAAATTCACTAAAACTACTACATAGACTGATATTGTTGGAATTTTAACAGAATTACTGCAAATTACTGCCCCGATTTATTATAAACAATCATCTTATGTAAAAAATTACTTGTTATCAGATAAATCTGCTTTAAAATTCTAACCATTAACAATTTTATCTAAATATTTTTATACTTTTATAAACAAAATAATGAAATCATTTATTGAAATAAGTAAATAATACTAGCACTGAATTACATATTGATGATAAATAGGGAAAATAGCTGAAATATATTTATAGTTAATTGTCACAGGCACATATGTCTGGAAATTTTCGATGTTACGAAAGACGCAACGTGCTTGCGAACGTTGCTCATTAAGTAAGAAATAATTTTTGATATGAACGATTCTCATTTTGTGGATATAAGGCTGAGGTACTAAGGGGTTAAAGTAAAGTTGAAGAATGTGAACAATTGTCTTACCAATTTCCTCTTGAGATTTTACAGAAAATAAATAACTTGAACTTTGGAAAGCATAACTTAGTGGGCCTGTTTTGTGGATTTTAGAACCCATTTACTTTTGAAGCCATCATTAATAGTTTAATGGCTCTTGAGCATCTGGTTATTACTTTTAATTCAATTTGCAGGTAGATGAAGTCCCAGGAGCTGCATACTACATTACACCTAATGGTCATTTAGATTATTCTGTTATTTTGAGAAGTCTTTATTGGTGTAGCACAGTACACACATCAAGTCGTGTTTGTTTCAATTTAGTTTGCTGTTTGAGTGCTTTATTTGATTTGGGAATCTTCGACATGAAGCCCGGAGCCTGCTCGTTAAAAAATGTTTCTTTTGAAAAACCTGGTCATCTCAGACGATTTCGAAAAAAAAATCAATATGAGAGAAATAAGTGTTCAAAATCCTCTAAGACAACTATTCTCAATAAACTTGTGGCAAGAGAAAATCACACTAACCCAAATTTCAACAATCGAGGTGGATACGATAGCTCAAACTTACATTCAGGCAGTAGAGTTAGACTACATGATCCAAGTGTAGGATTTTCTTCCTCAAACTTAAGTTCCTCTAGAGTTTCTGTCGGAATTTGCAGCGAGTCGTATGGAAGTGAAAATGGGGATGAAGGAGACGCTGATGTAGGATCAAAAAGGCGATTTTCTAATAGAGCTGATAACGAATCACTTATAAGCGAAGACGGTATCACGGCTTCTGTTTGCACAAAAAATGTCAGCCCACTTGGGAGTCCTGAATCATCCATAGATCTTGAAAAAGATCCTTGTTCAACGCCACGTTGGATAAAATCGTCAGGAAATATTCAATCTAGGCTGCGTAATAACGAAAAATTAGTGTCTAAAAGTGCATATCGATTGAAGTCTCGTGCTCAACAGAAGCAAGCAGTGAGCTGTGATATCTCTAATCATCTGGTCCGTACGCATTTTACTTTAGCAGCTGAAATGTTGATAAGGTAAACTTGATGCATTTATTACTTTACATATTTTCCTTCATTTAAACTTTTTGACAAAATCCAATGTACATACCGCCTGAATATATACACGTGTATTTTAGTTGAAAACGTTGTGAATGGTGCTATAAATATGTTTTTTACTCCCTTAAGCGTTCATACCTGGGTGTATAAACAACTTAGATAAAAATGACCATTTCAAGATTAACAAATGCACTTTCACGACGAATACCAAGATGTTTAGGACAAGCATTTAGTGTTTGCTGTTTGAACAAACCAAAAATTTTATTGTTAGTGAAAAGTTTGCAGAAATTAAATATTTTTGGTAAGCTAAACGGAATCACATTATTAATATTCGATACTAATTGGACTCATCAGGTCCTACAGAATGAAGAGTACTCCGATAGGTTTATTAGAATGGACAGAAATAGTCTATCTCCCTGTATTCATTGACTATACAGTCAAAATATCAGTATCTTATACATTTGTCACATATTTTTGTGTGGTTTAGATATGAAAATAGCTCTTAGAGTTGAAAATTATCGATGATACCATTTGACTTTTATCCATAGACTACTTGTTAGAGTTTTACCACAAAATCATAATGTTTGATTGTTTTCCATTGTTGACGCAGTTTTATTTGACTTTTTTTGTGTATGTAAACTGGACTTTCATGTATTTTGTTGTACATTAGAATTATTCGTTCAGTTGGATGTAGACATGGGCACAATAATTCATCGAATTTCACAAATTCCCATTATCATCAACAACAAGAGCAGCACGAAAACTCTGTAGATCCAAGCAACCATTTTCGGTCACTTGCACATGACTGTCTTATTTATCTACACCGATTAAATCCTAATTTGTTTAAACGTGTGATAATACGAATTGTATCTTCAAGTACTGTTGCCGATTTAGTTGAAATACTTCATTCCTTCACCGGGTTTTGTTTAGATCCAGTCACACGTTGTTATGAACGTTCAGGTAAATCATTTTGTTCCCAGTTTTCTTTTGTTATAAAAATAAATTTAGTTAAAGTCTTGGCTGAAAAATTCGGGTACTTGTCCTGTTGATGATCAAATAATGGATTCGAATTAAAAATACTAATGTATATTATTTTATTGAATAATAGAAAAATTTTTCAAATGTCTTAAGTACTACGAAAGTGATACACTAATTGTTATAACTTATGGCCTTGCGCCCTACTAATACATAACGTAATGATACCGTCAGTTAGAGAACAGTGATTTATCGACCGGATCAATGACGCATAAAAACCGTACGACCAGTCTAGAGTGTTTATCAGTCCTTCTTCCAACATAGCCCTGTCTGTTAAGTTCAGAACATCAATCTCAGCCATTGCGATATGGATCATGTATTTCGAACATACTGGGTTTATATACGAACCAAACAGACCACATTGTACCACAAAATAGGAAATAACATTTGTACAAATTCTAGCCAAATGCGGATGTGAGTGTGGGAGATTGGGCATAACCCAAAAACGGTAAATCGTATAATAATAGTCTATGGGTCAAAATAGAGCTTATGATAAGAGAAGCATGAATATGCATCATTTAGTTACTTAATAATTATACAACAAAAAAATATATATCGTATTGGTCCATAAATAGATTCCAACAGTTACCATTCATTATTCTCACTGGGCTATAACACTAATATATTGCTGTATAAGAAAAGATGTACAAAGTTATAATATTTTCCAAATTAAAACAGTATGTAATGGGTAGTCACTGGCACCATGCAATCGCCAATGAATGAAGCCAATGGAAAATTTTGATTTGAGTTGTATATTCAATAGTTCGTTATCTAAGAAAGCGACCAGACTATTGACATGGCTTCAGTTTCTTGTAAATAGACGATTCATCTACCCACGCGTTCATTATAGACAGAAATAAATGACGTTAGCCTTGAACAGCACGTAAGGCCTTAATAATTGGGGCAGTATAAAGTTATATTTTATATCAATGTTATCATATCTCAAACCTAATTATTCAATTGAGTAGTTGCTAATTTTTCTTCTGAAGCGTCCACACGTTTTCCCAGTCTACAAAAGGTTACACTGGGTGTGTTGTTGATATTCACATTCATGTGTTTCTTTTGAACAAGATCGATTTGATGTTATTTTACAATCAAACATTCCTCATATGTACTCTTAGTTTAACAGTCGTTAAAGATTCCTATTTTATTCAGTTTCGTATTGTTTTGCCATGATAAGCATATTTAATTGCAGATCATAATCAAATAAACTAACCTTGAATATATGGGTAATTTAAAAGTTATGGTATATATGGTGAGTTGTTATCGCTTCTTTTTGTTTTTTACACAGATCAAAACAGAAAATCTTATTTAAATTATGGAAATAGTTTTGGGCAGAATGATGCTGGCCAAGATACACGTGGAGCTGAAGGTTTGATTGTATCTTATTTGTTTGGCCCTTTTGTCCGGCGCTTAGTCAGGTGCAGACGTGAACTGAGCAGTCAAGAGAATGTTTCTTTATTTTCCGACATACGACAATTATTCACATATATTCGTGAAATTCACGGTAGTACATTTCGGAAAAACATGTTAGTTGCTTTACTGTGTCCAGTACAGAGAATATGTGAGATTACTACTCCTAAACCTTCAACCCCATTGCCGAGAATGTAAGTGCACTAAAGTTTTATTAACAGCACTCTTATTGCGCAAGAAGGAATGATTTAATTACACAATTACCAGCTTGGGCCCCTATGTGTAAACGTTAAACATACTGATTAATTAGGTCATACTGTTGTTGATCATTGTACTTAATTGAATGCATTTGTGGCTCATCATGTAGATGTTATAATGATCATTTAGGTTTGTTCTCTGCACAAAATCAATTATTCCAAAACGTTTTGCTTGTAAATAAATAACAAGTACATCATAAATGTAAATCTACAAGTAATTTGTAGAGCACAATAAATTCAAAGCGGTCTATAATTCTCATGGTCCTATGGAATAACCTTGTGAACAAGTGAAAAATCAAACAGCATTCTAAAATGTAAACAAATAGTTTTGTTATGGTCTGCAAATTCTCATTATTTTGTAGACAATCTTTTTTCTTTAACTTTACAATCATAAATTGAAATGCAAATCCGAATTTCGTTGTTTCGGCTTTCTGACTTCAGGGGTGTTCATTAAAAACTCATTACTTATTTCCAACTTACAACTGACAGGAAACGAACTAATCTTTTCTCGTCAGTATTGAATACGAAAAACGAAAGTTCTCATTTTGTTTATTACATACATTCTTTACTATTGTCCGTTTTCCTGTTATAATATTTCTTTTTACTGATTCAACGATATTTGAAAAATATCCAATCAACAAGGGATTTAGTTATCTGTGTTCTTAATTGTGGGAGTTGATGTGTGCGTCTTTATTTTTATCAATTGTTGATACTATAAATTTTCACTCTCCTGTGAAAATTTGTTGGTGGAACGTTATTAATCATACTTAAAGGAAGATTAGTATCTATGAGGGAAAAGGTTTTTTGTAAAACGACGCCAGTTGAGGATAACACGGCTACTGCTCTTAGTGATGGAATTTTCACCAGGTAATTTTTACAATGAATGATATTGATAGAATCAGTTGTAAAATTTCCGTTAAGACTTGTAAGTCGGTAATGTTCAATAGTAACCAATGGTTGGAGACTCTGGGTGACATGGCTCAGAATCGATCACAATGGCGTCGGTGTATACACTCTCTATCTTCCCTTAAACTAAGAGATTAAAATCGCTTTATATCTTTCTTTCTGCCAATTAATTCTTTCTTCCTGTACTATATTCTTATTGCAATCTTTCTTTTATATATTACCACCTTTAACCTAACCACTCCTATGAATCCGGTGTTCATCTTGCTGTGTTAATGAGGTATGGCAACCTGGACCGATGCATATATGTGCCTGGTTCTACGTTGTAGCTGACTGACTGACTGAATAGTAACAGGTATCGGAAGATTAAAGCTAAATTGTCATCTAATAAGAGAGCTTACATAATCAATTTCAGTTGACATATTCAAATCTTTTGCTGAAATACAAAAAATAAATCAGTTCATTAAATTAAGAAACCGAAATTTGCAAAACATTTATGTAAGTCTAATCAGAAATCAAAACTATCTAAAGAGTTGTTGACATTTTGTCCATGATAAGGTACTGATTTATTGTAGACAATGTCTCTTTGCTGGTGAGCTCTCATGATCGTGTTTAAGGTTAGTTTCACTGCCTGTATTTGTCAACTTCAGTCGTACACAGATACTTAAACAATTGTTTGTCAGTGTAATTAAAGTCACTTTTATATGTTCAATAGACATTCTGAAGAATAGTTTGTCCAAAACTTTCGTAGATTGCTTATTATTATCATTCCAAAGATATCTCTGTATTATATGTAAAACAACCGCATAACTTTATTGCCATAATTAAACTTGAAAGTTCACATTTTTTTACGATAAAAGCTGATGAAATCTTTCTTGTGGTAACAAATAATGAAAATCTGTCAAAACACTGGCAGGTTTTTCACATTAGAAGTGTTGAAAATTATCATTTGTAAGAATATTTCTACATGACTAATAACTTGCCAATCCATTGAATCAACATTAAGTATTGTTTAGTTTATTATGTCTTTATTTTTATCAAAAACAAAGTTCAAAAAAGGTTCAGAGACTCGTGATTCAGTCAGTAAGGAAAGAAGAGGATGTATGTAACCTTTCCAGACACAGTTTTGGTTCTTTGATTTGATTCTGACAACTTTCTTTACCTAAAAGGGGTACAATCTTCAATCGTCTAGTAAATTATTGAATGACAAGAAAGTTTCATTTTGCTGATATGTTCACTATTTGGCACATGAGAAAGCACAGCTGTAGTTGTAGATTTAGTCACTTTTCCAAACAGTGCAGATACATGTTTGTGAATATTCATAAATAGGTTTTTCTGATTAGATCCTATGTAATCACACCTTTACTAGGTTTTAAATTGGTAGCTGATGTGAAATGCACTTTTATCAATGTATAACGCTGATTAGTTTAAACAAAAATTTTACGCACATGCTTTATACTGTCTGTTATGATACGGTATTTATGAATTTGTAACAACAGGATTCGAAAATGTATTAGTTTCCTAAGGTAATTTTTGTGTTTTTCCTAAAGGTCAGCGAGAAACTCTATGTGGCTTGTGCCTCGTCACGACAAAAGGCGTTCAACTTTCAACGTATTTATTGATCCTTTGGCAGAAACAGAAAGCTATTCAAGTGGTCACAGAGAAAGTTCATTGTACAATGTGTTATGTAGACCGTCGACTGCAGGAAGAAATGTAAGAATACATAGTAATGGAAGTTCATCAATAATAGCAACGTCATTCGAAAATGGTAATTTATCAAACAGTCATTATTTGTTGTCCTCCTAAGATTTTACCTTAAAAATGTATAATCGTTGAACAATGTAACGTTTATTGTTCGTATAAGTTTGCGTTTCGCCATTGCTGAGATTCAGAATTGAGTTTTGTTTAATTTCTGTCAACATTATTTTTGCTAAGTGGAAGCATTGATAACGCATATATTTACACCTTTTATTAAATATCTTGAACTTTGATCACGAGTGGAATTCAAGACTTCTAGCTAAGACATAGAATTCTAGCTCTATATTGGAATACCACTAAGTCTGGAAGCCAGTAAATTCCATGCTCTCTGGAAGTGTTAATGTCTATCAGGGCTCAGTTACTTTGTGAATAATACGTTGGCATTTGTGACTGTCGATACTGAGTTTACGTCTCATCAAGAATATCAAAATGAGTTTACATTATGTGCATCTGATGAGCCGAGGAAATGACTAAATATGACTCCTGAGATTCATTGATAGGCAAAATCAAAACCATCTGATATGAAGTTTATCATGGAATTACTTGAAATTGTAAGTCAACACTAATGATTGGGAAGCGACTCATCATTATGGTGTATGGATTTGCAAACTGTTATTTTTGGGATTGAAACAAAATAATTTGTAAATGGTTACCATATTGCACATAGTAGTGGATTTTATTTGTTAGTGATTGATTACAATAGATAACAATGACTTATTTAGCATCGATGAATTAACTATCCATAGTAAGGTGATTTTTAGAAATGTACTCAATGTAAATATTGTTTTCATCGAAAATCGATATTATTCTAAGAACTATATGGAACGATGAAAGCTCCACGACCAAACTATATGGAATTAAAAAGCTCTAGATGATTAAACCTTTCTGGTTAGTATGTGACTTGTATACACCCATGACCTCATGTATAATCGACAAGACAGTCTATCAACCTCTCTGCAAGCATTATATTATTCAACTACTGGTTACCAGCCACCTAGATAAATACAACACGGTAAGTTTTCGGAAGTATAGTTTGAATCTATAACTTGTGCATTTAATGTCCATAGTGATGAGCTTGATAACTAGTGTTATATATATATATATATATATATATAGCTTTTTCTTAGTGAGTTTGTCTACTTATTTAGGCAGTAACTCAACATGCATCACTTCAGGTATCCCAGCGATATTCAATGTCCTGATGAGCATTTTTTCATTAACAGAGCTTGGGTATTTTCAATGTCGATTTACAGAATGGAATTTGTCAATTTTTGTTGACCCACGCTTCTTGTATGGAGTCAGCGAATTGCTTACTGTTAAAAATTGATAAATTTAGGTGACGTCTTGAGACTGAAGTTAAAATAACTTCCTTAATTCAGTTTCTGATCCCTACCAACAGTTAATTAATGAAGTTACGAGTGCGAACATTTTCGAGAAATTTGCATGAAGAGGCTATATTTCAACAGGCACCACTTAATTCACTACTGCAAGCTAACTACTAGTAGACCTTTAGTGTTTAGAAATACGTGGTACAAAGAAAATTTTACAAAATTTTGATGTTTATGACTAGGGTAACTTTCAAAGTGTTTTTATTTGCAAAACTTTTAATATTATCATTTGATTAATAGCATTATTTAAACAAACATATTTCCGTTTTCTTTCATATAAAACCTATTACCAATAATTTAATTATCTCAGCCCTATTTTTGTTTGCCTATGTCATATAAGTTCTCTTATTATCTTTACTGTGAGCGGGAACTACTTTTATTTTGATGACATTGGTTATCGGTGACTGTATATCAGTATATGATAAGATTTAAAATTGCTGCATAGTTCGTTAATACAAAGTGATATTATAATTTAGACTAACACAGGCCACCAAGCCTCCTCTTCTTTCCAAACTGAAACTGATATATAAACGTACAATATTGTTTTCGATTAGATCATCATTAGGCTTTACTCTAAAGCTTTACTCCTTAAGAGTAGCAAAATCAAGAGCGTTGGGATAGATTAAAGGGATAAGGAACGACAGTAAGTTGGTTAACATATTTTGATAGAGGCCACAACAATCCTTTCTGACTGGACACTCAACAGATGACATGATATTGAGTAGACGAATGTTTTCACCATAGTGGTATCACCGACTAAAACATCGATGTAGCACTAGCTAGCTTTTTAGGAAAATCATATTTAACTTACATTGGAGTATTAAATTGTTGAATCAGAACTCGTTCAACTATAAATGAAAAAGCTTACAAATACTGACAAACGACGATGTAGAAAAGATAGAAAATAATGATTCCTATACATACTACATATTGAGTCGGATAGAATAAAATGGTACAAACTACTTCTACAGTGTTTGTGATAAAATCTCCAATATATTGATTATCTCTATATGAATATGTAGTGTTTTTATTTCATTCTATTTATTAATCTCGGTTTTAGTAGCTTTCTTTAGTAGCTTTCCTCCAATTTCTATATTTTTCCCTCACATATATGCATGCTCATCGATTCATTTCCGATACAGCGAGTACAGCATATATATATATATATATATATATATATATATATATATATATATATATATATATATATATATACGCACAACAAACATAACATACATTAAGCGAATCACGGAACAATGAAATTCATTTCGCCATCAAGACTATGTGATAGTAGTAAACTTTACGGTCGACCTTGAATAGACTGTTAACCAATCAGAAAACTGTGTTTAGTCCTAAGAGGATTTATAATAGAGAAAATAGGGAACTGGGGTGGATAAGCCATTTTGGTATGAATTCTTTCCAGGCCCTAAACTTGATTATATATATATATATATATATATATATATATATATATATATATATATATATATATATATCGTGAAACTATCAGTGTTAGACCACCATTGAAAACATGGAAGAGGTTAATCGTCTGCAAAACTGAAGGTCCTGGGTTCACGTCCCACATGCGGCACCATGGATGCTCACTGCTGAAAAGTTTCATACAAGGACTAAATGTCCATCTAGTGCTTCCAGCTTTTCAATGGCGGTCTCAATAAAAAAATTGCTTACATTGAGATGACTATTTTGCTTGAATAAGCTTATACGTCAAATGAAATTGTAAGACCAATGATCAGAATAAATATGGGTCCTACAGGATAAGAGAAATAAAAATGCAATTACAAATTCAATCAACTGTTTAGTGGATGGCTATATCGTGTAAAGTTGTATGAATCCAGTAAAAAATTATAAAATGGAGTGAGCGTCAATTAAATTGATCGTGTTTGAGTGAGTAATAGTGATGTTCAAAGAAAAAATCAATGGTAACCTTAATTATAGAATGGCCTAATTTAACTAATGTACATACAACTTTTCGTTATCTTCGATATTTTTTATATATCTTTGTACTTATTTATTATTGTTTTACTAGATTCATACAACTTTATAGACGTTATAGTCATTCACTAAATATTTGATCGAATTTGTAATTGCATTATTATTTCTTTTACCCTAATATGTATGTATAACTAACTGTAGAACCTGAAGGGAACTTATTTCGTTCAATTTTTAGTGTTTTTATATAATGAGAATTTTCAATTCGTTTTGATATGACTGACGAATCATTACAGGTTGAATAATTTAATACAATAAACGAAAAAGTGTCATGGTTGTGAGCTATAATCGGTAGTAAGGGTTTTGGGTTAGGATTTTGGTTTCAAGAAAGGGGATAGTTTGTAGTAGTTGTGTTGAATACTTATGCAGATAATCTAAATGTTAGAAGCTTTTAAGTTATTCTGAGGAATTCATAAATTATGCTAACATACGTGCATTTTCATTTTTTTATTTTACATTATTTTTCCCTGAAAAACTAATTGATCAAGTTCATTTCTAATGTTCAATCTTATCATATCTACTAATGTTGAGGGCCGTAGTTGTTAAATAAAGGGGATATTTAATCCGTTCGTAGAGACTGTCCTAACTCATCTAATTCGATTTTCCCATCAGGCACATCATATTACAGTTTTTTATTTATTTAACTAACTGAATATAATTCTAATGAAACAATACCCTGATTTCATGAAATATTAAACTAGCACTCAAGATTGATCTCATTTGAGGGACTTTAAGCATTGTTGTGTCAAATCGTTAATATCCTCTGAGAGTATCTATCGATTCCAGCTAATTGTCAAATACTCTTAACCGAGTTACAGAAAAGAAAAGAAATGAAGCACTGTGAGGTACTCTTGTCCTTGAAGCTCAAAAAAAATATTTCTTAATTTTTCAGTGATTATAAATGTTCTTTAAACTAAGATTCGGTACGATTGGGAATCTGAAAAATCATGAAATATGTCGCAAATCACGTTTGGACTTTAATGGCTAACGATTAGTTGCTAAACCTTATCACTTTCTCACCCAAAACACCATAAGTCAAGTAATTTAAGTTATAGATGATGATGGGTTTATAGCGAAAATATGTTAATTCAAGGGATCTGAAATGCCACAACTTAGTTCTATGACACTCATCAAAAACTTTCAGATTATTCTGACTGAAATTTGTTAAAAACTGACTTCCTTGATCAGAGTTTTACCTCAAGTCTTAATGACATTATTTCAAAGGTTAACATGAAGTGAATCTTAGTCTAAATGAAACAATCGTTATTCACTTAAATTATCATTAAAAGAAATTTATCGTGTCCTATCACAATGTAGCTTGCTCATCATAATAAATGTGTGCACATCTAACAATAAATAGACTTAGTGGTTTTTAAATAATGTACCAGAGTATATTCGTAGTCGTTTCAAAATGTTATTCTGTGTATTATTATGCATTAGTTTCAGTACAAGATAGAGTTAAAATCCCTATATAAGAAAAAATTAAATTTCAAAAGTTTGAAGACTTAGTGTATCTTCATCAAAGAATAAATAACCGAATGAAATTAAAACAAATTTAAATGTCACACAGAAAAAATTGAAATATTCAGTATAATCAACACAAATCTGATCACGCTAATGTTATGTAATTCAGATCAAATAGTGAAACGAAATATGTGTAACCTCTTGTGAATCTGAGGAAACTGCGATATTTGCAGTGTGAAGGAGTACAGTTAATACGCGTGTCACTGGTGTTAAATTCGAACAGTTTAGATCTGGTTTTTATAATTTACATCAGGGATTAAGGTTATTAAAAACCATGTAGCATCAGGCTGTTTCATCTCAGTATGAAATAATTTAGTTGTACTTATCTACAAGTGTACCGGGAGTCTAATACCTTCTGTCTCGAGCGTTTAAGATACTGTTCCGCGATCGTCTATTACGTACGGTGTATAAGTCCGTCACACCTGACAACCTTGAACTCTTGGAATCACCTCTCGATATTCGTCACTAATGAGCACATGGTTATTAGTACTGAAGAGTATGCGGAGATAGATTAACCGTCATAGTTTACTCCAGTCCGTGATTTAAACCCTGTAAATTCAAAAATTTTCGTAAACCATCGCCTTCTAATCTTAAACATGGATGTTTAAAAACAAGGTTCACTTTGGTTGGATATTTGGGCATCCGTTTTAGCTGAATGAAGTGAGATTTAGCTTAAGTTAAGCATTTTTTTCTACAAATGTTGAAAACGTTTCGAATTATTATGATAGTTCTATTATTGCTCTGATATTTAATGTAAATAGCATATTCTGCCATTACTGACTTCATTTGCAAGTTCACCAGTCTCATGGGATTGTTAGGAGGTCCTTTTGGTGTAACATAGTTGTTCCTTGATATATGTCAACATTTCACTAGGAGACTTCAATTAAGAAAGTGTCGCTATCGACACAACCTAATCTGTTCACACAATCGTGCAAGAGCAAAGGAGATCAATCCTTTTATTCTTACTAAAGCATTTTGAAGTGTTGGTTATTTTGTGTAATTTTTTTCTAGATCTATACAGCTCTGAGTACCGTTGTTGTTAAACTAGGAAATCAACCCGATTACGTTTTGTACAAAAAAGGAATAACTTGTGTTTAGATAACTAGGTAAACTTCATCGTTTGATTACTTTTTTGTCACAAAACTAGTAGTTACAATCTTATTGACCGTTTAAATTCTATCTTATTTAAAAATCGGTATCATTTTTATCTATAGAATATGTCTTGACAATGTTCTGCACACCAATTTTCCAAATAGCTTTTATTCACCAAGAACTTTTTATTTGTGTTTCATCATATTTCTGACTAAACGGAATATATGGTAGTGAGAACAGTGAACTTGAAGTTGTTCACAAGTTACAGGTAAAAAATGTCTAACAGTCTGTATTCTAAAACTAAGTAATTACTAGCTAAAACTTAAGCATTTTGATCATGATCAAATTTTAAGGTTTTTTAGTTTGGTATATGAGTGGTTGGAGCCATTTATATTTCACAAATGCTCTGTATTACCGGAACTGTCACTATTCGATCTAATTGTACTACCATTAAAAAAATAATTTTTTTGAGCATAATCCAGAATTCTTTTACCTATTATATGTAGTTATGCAATCTATTTTTTTGTGATCACTGACCAATAAATTAATTTGATGCATAAATATTCGTGTATGTTAGAGTAAATCCTGGTTATGATCTAACTGAAGACAATATTGCTTGCTTATATGTATTAATCTAATTTTCGCGTCAGGAATCTTTATTATTTTAATTCAGAATTGTTAAAACACAATATAACCGCTTATTTCGGTCTCCATTTCAGAATATCCTAGCCGATCTAAGTCAGAATGTCCTTCCACTGATCAGTCAACAGGTCAAATGATAATTGAACACCGGTGGATTAATTTATCAGCGCTGAAAGAAGGTTTATTTGATTTCGCTTTCCTGTTAGACTGTTGTGAACCAGGTTTAATACCAGAACCACAACTTATTGCAGCTCTGTTTGACTTAGTAAGTAAATCTTGGAGCGTTATTTGTTAAGTAAATAATAATATAATACAAGCACGTATATACTATTTTGTGTGTGTTCGCTATTGATATGATTTAGTGAATAACTGGATTATCAGCTAACAGATAAATTCGGGGCTGAAAAAATCAGATAAAAACCAGACAAAACAAAACAGACTGAGAGGGAAATAAACGCAACAGGAGCGCTTATTATCCAATCTCATTTCTTTAAGAGATAGATAGATTGTTTGATTAATCAACCTATATACATTCCTCCAAGTCATTAAGTAAATATTTCATAACTAAGATCAACTTATTTTTACGTCAAAATAGGTCTGAAACAATACCTATTGTAAGCTTTACATCAGGATGAGTTATTTACACAAAGTAACAGTCTCTGAACGTTTATCTAAAGACTTCTAGTAGTGTTCCTGAATGTGTCGAACCCAGAAGTTCGTGAAAGGACTTTCTTCGCCCCATTCATTAAAAAAGATTATTCAGACCGTTCTAAAACTCCAGATGAGTCCTTAAATATAAGCCACTTGTGTTTTTCCGCCTTTTTTTTTACTTACTTCTTGGAGAATAATAAACGAGTTAGTTATGAAAACTCTGTATGTGGAAAAAATATCACATTATTTGATTACAATTTTTCAATCTTGTCTACAACTGTAACAGTTTGAGATAACTTGATAACTAAGTACGTATTCGTATGTTGGTTCGTTTGAAACAGTGAAACCAGGTAAAAATAATATATTTGTAATATCCCAATGAGTAGAAAATCCAATTTTCTACTCATTGGGGTATTACAAATATATTATTTTTATTTATAACAATGAACCCAATGCTCAATTTATTCGAAATTAGTGAAACCAGGTGTTACTCTGGTTTAAACACGTCAGCAAAGTGTATACTCCATTTTGAAGCAATTGATGTTTCATCAAGGTCAATTTTCATCTCACCAATCAATCGAACTTTTCGTTTTCCACCACAATTAGTTGACGGAATTTCTCACTTGTTTATCGTTCGCTTTTATTTTGTATCACTTTTTGGAGCTTTGAACATGAATGTTTGCCGTAAACTGCTCATTTAAATCTTCAAAATAACGTAAGCTCTTATTTCTAATTTCTTAACTGGTAAAAGAGTAATAAGGTATCAACATTATAATGAACTTCTTTGTCGATATTTTAATGTACGGTGTAGATACGTATGTTCTGAGCGGTCTCTATACGTAGAGGAATTCTAACAGGGGACCGGTCATAGTCACTTTTTTCAGATAAATTAGGAAATATGAATTTATACATTGTAATTATTAGCTAAAGCTCTTACAATGAATGGGATATTTCTTTAAAGCGGCTCATACAACAATACCCGAACCTTAAGGCTAAATAAAAATAGTTGTTAAATTAATTAAATCAGTCAGTTGTGGGGTTGGGAGAATTATTAACATATGAAGAATAGATTTGGATGTTATATTTTTTGCGAGGGATCTGAAGAGGAAGCCCGACAAGTTTTGGTCTTAGTGACTTGGGAGCGCGATGACAGGGCCCAAGGGACGACTTCTTGAGGCTGACCAGGCATGGCTTTTTCATGAATCGCATATGTGATCGCTCTACATTTCGAAAGGTCTTATTTCCGATGACGGAAATCCATGGGGTAATGTGAGGTGTGACATTCTTATGGTCAACCTTTTCTAACCCGTTCCTTCTGTTGTGGAGAGGCAGCATCTCTGCAGACGGTGGTTTTCCGAAGGAAACGCCTTACTGCTATCACAGACCCCACAGTCAGCAGTACGATTTTGCCTTTGGACACTAAGTTGCCGACTTTACTTTCACCGTTCTCTGACCAACCTGTCTCGCAGACCTAAAAGAACATGTGTTACAGCCAATAGGGCTCGTTTTACTCATCACAATAGGCGCGCCCGACGACCACTTCAAGGTAGAAGCTATGGTTACAACAAATTAAGTGAATCCTTGGCTAACCAGTAGTTTATGTCAATGGGTGACTTTATTTGCTTAAAATACGTTTTTACAGCCATAATTTGAATTACAGTGAAAAGTACGTTTGATGCGCGTTCCTAGACTACACTTCAAGCTTTGACTCTGTTCCAAGACCACTGTTATTAAATAAGTTTTGGGACGTTAACACTGGGAACAGGTTAATCAACTGCTTACATTTTTACTTTTCTGGATGTAAACTATGTCATGTGCTTGAAGGAAGGTATTTTACTTTCTTATTAACATAAACTGATATTTTTCGGTAAGCTCTTCTTCCTTCTTTACTTTACTCATTTTTCTTAATAATCAGTCATCTGCATTGAATTTACGCTGGTTTATACTGCTTCAAATCCCCTTGAAATGAATAAGTTCTTTTCGTTCATTTAACGGTGGTCTATTTTTAATAGTTTCACACTTAATCCTTATAAATGAAGGACTCTTAACTTTAGCATGAGACGTACGTATTACGCAAACATCATGCTAGGATCCAATGAAATTTATGCTATTGAAGATTCTGTACCAAAAATAATGTGAGTTTATCTTGTGATCTCGATTTGGTGTTATCTGCCTTACTAATCATATTATATTTCTTGATCATTATGTTTTCATCGGTAAGAACATGACATCACTATGCCTGTAGACTGTCTATCTATTGTAGAAGATTCATTAAATGTTGTCGCATATGCTCTAAATTAGTTTTTTAAAATCTTATTTTTCTTTAACCACTGTTTTAGGATGCTCCAGTGCTAGCGCGGGCTTGCCTACTGCTAGAATGTGCCTTTTTAGTTCACCGTTGTAATCGAGGCGAATGGGCTGGATGGATGAAATTCAATCTACCCAGTTCATTTCGATCAAGCGCTGGATTCATTAGTAGTAATACTACTAATAGCAACAATAATCTTTCACAAGCAAACGAAAATAATAATAACAATATTCATCCAGTGGATATATCGGAAATCAAACGTGTAGCTGGCTACCTATTCTATGCTTGGGGTGAAGTAAGCTATATGTTACTGCTACATACTAAATGTGCATCCCATTTCTTATCAGATGACTTAACTATTAAGCTGCTTTCGAAACTACAAGATAACCGAATTTCGGTCTATTCGACGAATGATTATCGATGTCTTATTTAAATGAGTTGTGGGGGAGATAGATGACCTGTCATTTTTAACAGGAGGGAATATGTCCAAGGTGTCCTATTAATAGTTTCAGAGAAATTTCGTAAAGGGGAATTATGCATTTTAGTTGTCACTTGTATTGGGAAATCACTAAATTATTTGTAGATAAACAAGTTCTTGTTAAAACAGGTTTTAGAATGTAAGTGAAATCTAATTATTCCTAATGTAATCTGGTGTCTGAATGTAAGTAATAATTTGCTTGAACAAAGATACAGTACATTTATACTTACATTTATCACTATAAATGTGTAAATATCCCACAATATTTGGATGCTCTATAATTTGCATCCATTTACCATACAATTACTGCGATACCT